GTATATATTTATTTAAATAATATTTTATTCATATTTTTTTGTATTTAATATTTATTTTTTTAGAAATACTATTCGGACCGAAAACGGTCTGAATATTATTATCGCGCCTACACTGTGGATCCCGCCATAAATATAGGGACCGATACCGGTCCGAATATGTTCATTAAGTATATTTTCTCCCCCTGACTATATTCAGACCGATATTGGTTCGAATATTTATTTTTTCGGACCGACAATATTCGGTCCGTATATTGTCAGTCCGTATATAATAAATTTAATTTTGTTGGCTAATAAAAAAAATGTAATCATACGTAATTATTTCATCTTCCCACTAAACTCTTGTTTTACCCTATTGGTTCAACTAGTTGAATTGAATTTGGTTGTAAAAATAAATTGGATAAATGCTTTAATTTGTGCTGAAGATTGACCTGGTAGAATTCATAAAACTCGGACCACCCTTTGCTTCAACTCAATTAGCATCAAAATCTTTTTTTTTTTTTTAAATATGCATTTTATCTTTTTAGATTGCATGTATTTAATTAAATTCAACTTTTTAAAATTGTTTCTAAATTGTTTTACAAATTGTTTTTAAGTTGATCATATCTTAAAAATAAGATAATGTTAGTATATAATAGTAAAATATATAAAAAATACTAAAAAAATATTTTTTCAATTAACTAATTCAACTAGACTTGGTACTGATAACGTGCCACTCACTGAGTTAGATTTTAAAACATTGTACTAGAGACAAAATTTAAGAGCTGTTCAACCATATTAGACGGGAGATCTTAGAGACTTAATCGTCATTTCCATGATGGTTTCCTTCATTCCAACAAGGACAGGTGGAATTAACTAGGTCCATAATTAATTAAAATAATTTAAAAATACTAAAAAAGTTAATTTTTTAAAAATATATTAAGTCAAAATGAGAGTGCATCCTTAAAATTATCTAAAAAAGATATTAATTTTAAAACAGATAAAAGTTGATCTAACTATTTTTTTTTTTTAAAGAAGAAAAACAAAATAGGGGCTTAGTTTAAATGATTAAGTGGCTGAAGAGCTTATTTAGTTGATATCAAAGGTTCACGAATTATTTATAATGTGAACTTACGTACATACTACCTACGCCCTATTGAGATTATATAAATTTCAAATACTCCATTAATTTATTTTTAATAGTTTTAGTTTAATATTTTAACTTTTGAAATATGAATTTTATATGAAAATTTATCATATTACATAAATAATAATTAGATTTTTCTTATCAAATAAAAATACTCAATAAGAACTTCATATATGTAAAAAAACTTTTTAATTACTGTTTATATAAATTATTAAATTTTTATCTAAAATTTATATTTGAAAAGTTAAAAAGTTAAAAAGTTAAATTATGATTACTAAAAATAAATGATGGAGTATAAAACAATAAGTCAATAATTTGGTTCATAGAGGACTTATATGAAAAACAAATCTAGTTT